GAAGTGAATATTCACCTAATTGACATTCTTGGAGGACATATGAAGTTCAACATCAATGATGTCCAGTATCAACAAATTTTCCTAGAGCATAGAAGTAGTCATTCTAACTATAAAGCAATTTTTACTAATGGCTCAAAGAATCATGATCATGTCGAGGCAGCTTTATTTGTGATAAAGAAATCAAGAGTAGTAAACTTCATGAGGCTGCATCTGTCTTTACTGCGGAAACGTTTGCCATTTTGAATTCCTTAATCTTTAAGCAGAATAACAGAAAGTTCATCATTTACTCTGACTCTCTGAGTTCTCTTGAATCAATAAATACAAATACTAGCCACTCTTTGGTCTTAGAAATTTTAAAGACTCACTTCCGTTTGAGAAATACAGGTTATTCTATTGCGTACTGCTGGGTGCCTGCACATGCTGGCATCAAAGGCAATGAAGTCGCACGTTGCAGCAAAATCTGCTGATATAACCTCTGAAAATGATGTCCCTTTTACAGACATACGGAATTACATCTGAGCAAAGATCTTGGCCAGGTGGCAAGAACTCTGGGAATGTCAGACACTTAACAAATTAAGGCAGGTAAAGCCCAATTTGGAGCATTGGGAGTCGAGAAGGAATCAAAAAAAGGATGTACTGCTGACTTGCCTACGAATTGGTAACTGCAGACTGACACATCAATATCTCTCGAAAGGAGATAATGAGCCCATTTGTGGCACTTGCAACATTCCCGTTTCAGTCAATCACATTTTAACCTGCTGTCCTGCTTTTAGTCAGAAACGTGAATATCATTTTTAACTCTACGAATGTTAACAGATCTCATTGGAAGGGACCCTCACATCAACTTCATAAGATTTTTAAAAGACATATCTTTTTACCATTTTTATAGATCATCAGTTTAAATCTGGTAAGATGGCATGCAGAAATTATAAAATTAAAAATATGAAACCGTAATTTATGAATAAAGAACAATTATGATCTAAAGGGTATCAAAATTTACAAAAAAAAAAAAAAAAAAGCTTAATATTTATTTGTTTACTTTATTAAACATTTCTTTCAATGTAAGTTGTTTTAAGTTGCTTCGTTTTTTATGTGATAATACATTCTCTTTAATTCTATAAACAGACATAATTTCTTGTTCAGTTACAAAGTTCTGCTGTTCAAGTCCTATAATTGCTGTGTCGAGAATACCGACTAATTTGTCAATCGAAATTTTTTCGTTTTCAATAACCTCTGTCACTTTCTTCGCTATCGGAAGCGAATTATAATGACGAGGAATTTGATTTAAATCATATCAAAGACTGAGTACTTCGAGATGAAATACTACGTTTAGTAAGGAATTATAAGCCAAATAAAATAAAAACATCTGCCCTGAAGATAAGGATAGTGCTGACAGATCAACTTCCAATTCATTGCGTGCCACAGCGTTAAAGATAAACAAGGTTTAGATAAACAAACGTTAAAGTTTAGATAAACAAAGGATATGCCTTTATCCATTTTTTGCAGCAATTCCACTTTTTGTTTAATGGACTTTGAAACATACTTTCGCTTTGTAGATCCTTTACATATTAGTAAATATATATCGGAAATTCTATTTGACATAATCGAAAGTTCAAGCTTACTTTTAGAAAATTGCTCTAACAGTCTGCAAAAAATAATAAGCCGTATCCAATTCGAAGATTAAGGAACAACACATTCTGCAACATTAACTGAAATAGATAATTAGATAATTTTAGCTTAGCTTATACCATCCATTATACATTAAACACGCACTCGTAAATGTATTTTGAGCACGCGCACATGCATATTCGCAGCCGTAAAGGTCTTATGCGCAAAGTCAATGCGATGCATGCGCAAAAAGTTTGTAACTTTGAGGTCCGGATTATGGGTGTCCGAATTAACGACTTTTGACTGTACCAAAGTGATAATAGCAATTGTCGTTGTCTTCATTGCTGTTTCAAGAAAAGGAGTTGTCATTTCGTTGCCAACCAAGTAGGCTGCAGCAGCAGAACCCCCTTGTGGCTTGATTGGTTTTGCACGTAGCTTAAAAAGTCCATTTGATGAACATGGGGCCTCTAAAAGTATATTACCTGGGGTCTTCTTGTGAAAGAAAAGACAAATCATATCGTCTGAATCGCCAAAGTTCGAGATTCCTCGCTTCATTGCCTTTGAAGCTAATAACAAATTTTTGCTAATTTCTGGTGTGTACAGTACATCAGTGAGCTGAATAAATTTTTGTACATTTCCAACTGTCACGCACATGTCAATGTCCCCACAGCCATATGCTGGTATTGTCTGTTTGTTACCGACTGTATTTCTGCTTGTTTGTTAAAGTGACAGTATGTCTTGAAATTATTCGGCTGTATTTGTAATGTGTGCTGTAGCTTCATTGTCTTTAAGCCACACATTTGGTCCATAATCATCTTCTTGACAAGCACATTTTTGGTACGTTTCACAATCATCTTGACAAGCAAACGCACTGCATTGAGTATTTGCAAAGAAGGTCTCTGTGTTTTGCCATTTGTTCGTGGTTGGCATGTCAAGGAAAAACTGGGCAAAATTTACCAATGTGCCCGGGTTTATTACAACGGAAAACAGATGCCATTGAAACCTTTCATGCACCATCACTGGTCTTACTAAGTCTGTTCATTCGTTTTGGCATTATTATGTTGTCAAAGGGTTGGGATTGGCTGACCATCTGAGGTTTTTTTTACCACCTTTCTTCCATTTCTTTCCACTATGTTTTGCGCTGTAATTAGCATTTGCCACAGATGTTATCATACTTCGTTTCTAAGCTCTTGATTTCTTCTTTGCAGCCACATGTTGATCTGTTCGATCAGTTTTTCAGGTAACTTTTCCGTCTTTGGCATTGAGTCTTGCTGTGATTTGAACTCAAGTTATTCATCATCAGGAAGAGTAGGTAAGATTCGCGGTGCTAGCAAGTTCTGCGGCAACTTTCCTTTGCCGCTCAACTCTTGCTCACGTTGAAGATCCGTCCACAGTGTTTGTAAACGTGCGAGTGATTGCATTACACTTTTGTCTTTCTCGATCTGAAAGGTGAAAAACTGTTGCAGAAGAGTTTCCAATTGGCTTGACATCTTCCCAGAATTACTTAATAACTCATTCCATGTCACTAGTGCAGAATTACCATGAGTATGGATTAAATTTAACACGTTTGGTGAGACATTTGTGCAAATGATCACAGCAGCTTTCGCATTCGCCTTTGAATACGCTTTTGCGGTTTCGTTGTACTTGCGTATCATCTTTTAATTCGTGCCTTGTGACGCCGCGTTTGGCTCAACAAGGGAATTATCGAAGATGCTCGCACAATTGTTGAGCTCAAACAAAGAGTTTATTTCAAATTTCCAATCAGTCCAGTTGGATAAACCTTCCAATTTGATACACTGAACAAAATTTTTAGTCTCTATATTACATCGTCATTAACCAGGAAATATGCAGCATAATAAGCTATTGGTACACTGTAGCATCTACCTACACACTGTTCAGGTGGAAGTGTTGAATTCAGAAACGAAAGTAAAAAAAAAATACATCAAGATAGCCATTATTACTTTATTTTGCACTAAAATTAACAAAACAGAGTGATGGCTGAATGAATTTTGGACTTTAATAACAAAAAAAAAAAAAAAAAAGGTAAAGAGAACTTACGTACATCTTATTGTTTACATAAAAACTTTTAGAATGACAGAAATAATAGTGATTCCTGATGCATAAAACATAATAATACAACAAAACAGTGGTGCCACTGAAACTGCACATAACATCAATTAAATGCTCGATTCTCAACAGTGATGTGTAATCACCAAGCACTGACATGTAGGCATCGCACATTTTTTCCATTATTTTTCGTAAAATCCAACAAAGCGGACTTCAATTCTTGTAGGAGGGCTGATTTGACCTCTTTCAAGCCTGCAAAGAGATTGCTAACTTTCTCCAGCTCGTACTTCCGAGACATTTTGGTCAATAGAACACTCAAAATGCTGAAATGCCGCAATTATGCTGCCAGTGTGGTTGTAAAGTATCTTCAGTTTCAAAAGTATTCATGTATCATATACATTCAGATCAGGCCATATTCTCTATTAGAAACGATGTGCCTGTATTTTTTCTAAAATGGTTTGTGTATATCTTCCTAACTGATGTCTGAATCTCTTTATATAAATAAGGAGATTGGTGTGACCATTTGTTATGATTCCTTGCCAAAGAAACACTGCTGCTATTGAAACAAAGTAAAATTTAAGACTTTTGATGGAAAGTTACATGCTCCATATTACATCCGGATAAGAATAGAATACATATTATTTAAATGTCTCGTAGATACAGTTATGTGACACTGTCATCTTTGTAAAAGAGGTAGAATGCAGTGTGCATTTGCCTTCACTGCCTTTGAATGACCATAATATTCCAAAGCTTTAATTTCCAGTGCTGTCACTTCTGCATTACTGAAATGACATTTTGTTGCATATTTAAATTTCTAGAAGTGTTGTGAAACTAATTAGTAGCTTCTCATGTAGTAACAACTTGCCACTGCTGGCATTTATCTATATGATGTTGGGACATATTTAATATCTGGAAACCTACTCCTGAATGTGATACATTCATTATGTTCCTTTTAATACATACTCATATTGTAGCATACATTCTTTTTAAAAGTTTTGTGCAATAGTATAGGCTCAGAGTTATGTTTTCAGCTTTAGTAGTTTACGTTTAGCATAAGTACATACTGTCCTTAAGCTTTTAATTTAAAATTGTGTGTTAAGAGCAATTTCTGAGAGTTATCCTTTCATTTTCTGCGTCATTTTATTGATGAATTGATACTACTTGTGTTAAATTTTTGAAACCAGCATTTCTAAGAATACTTGTAACAGAAAAATATGGATTTCTTCTAGCTTGGTAATGGATTAAGTAAAGTAAAATTTGCCTTTATTGCACATATTTACATGCCTTTTTTTTTTTTTTTTTCTTTCCTTTTTTTTTCCCCCCAGTTGTGGCAGCATCTTTGTTCTGTGCAAGCCAGTTCTGATAGCTGTAAAAAAACGTCAGCTGAAGAAATCAATATATCAGTTTCAGGTATTTAAGAAAATTTTATGATCTTAAAAATGAATTGTGCATTTTCTTTACTGTCATAATTTCCATACTTCAGTTTTTAAGCTGTTGAGTTTAAATGATAGTTTCTAAAGACTTTTTTTCATGTGTTACTTTGTTTTTTAATCTTTTGTCCAAAATGTTAAAATGCTTGTCAATTTGGTATAAATTTTAATGTAGTTTAGTGAACTATTTGTACTTAGCAAAGTTTTAACTTTCCTCTTTCCACAGAGCTATTATCAAGCTTGTATTATTCTATAAGAGCTAGGGAAAGTATTATGGAGGAAAGGCTGAAAATAGCATATGAAGAAAGAGATGCAACTGCTCTTGAAATGGAAGATCTATTTCAAGTTTTTGCTAGGTATTTATATTAATTTATAGCAACAGTTTTGAGGATTAATTTGATGTTGTCCTTGAACTTTTATGCTCTATTGCACCACAAAACGACATCTGAATTGATTTGTGTTTATACTTGTTTATAAAAGAGTGATTTAGTTTTCAGTGTTTGGTAACAATCTTGTTTGCTTCCAAAAGATTAATTGAAATTCATGTATTGGGCAGCTGTGTATCAGACTGCTGGCTGTACTAAATGCTTAATATTGAAGTTGCTTTTATATGTTCCTTTTGGAAATATAAGTGTAGAAAATATTTAGAAATAATCAATACTTGGTAGCAAAACCATGACTGTCCTGTTTAATGAATTTTTAAAAGATACAACATTCATGTCATCTATAGTAAAAGCATTGCTAATTTCTTTGAAAGGTAAATCTTATCTGAATATTAATTAAAAAGGAAAAAATATGGTGTATAATATGATAAATTTAACTCGCATAGAGAAAATAACTGATGATTTTTACCTTATATGGCAAAACAAAATTGAAATAATTTAAAAATATGAGACAATATCACAGAAAAAGATAAGCCACTGAAACCATGTAAAAGAGATATTAATTATGATAGTGAAATGAAAACTTGGGAGTTTATGGGATCATAATAATGCAGTAGCAATAAATAAAACTAAATAAAACTATGGTAGCTCCAGAAGCATTAAAAAAACATGCCAGTGAAAGGAATGTGGAGAAATTATGGGAGATATTAAGAAAATGGAATGGCTCTAAATACAGGAGATATTCAAATCAAGTGTTTTAGAATTAGCTCAATGACAATGAAGCAGAATGAATCTCAAGATAATTACTTGAATAGAACTGTAAGTTTAAAAAGTAAAAGTATTTAAGTGGAGAATGAAATAAACAATGAAGAGTTAATTTACCTCATATTAGAAAGACCTCTGAATAGCTTTGAATTTAATAGTAAAATCATTAAAACCAGTGGAGAGGAAGGTATAGCTGCAATTGGATAAGCATTAAAAGAAATTGAAGAAAAATAGAGATAAGGAGAAACAGAAGTGGCTTCTAAAGCAAAAGAAAACTGTATTATAAAGTTGAAATATAAAAGGTATTCCTAGTTTTGGGGGGGGGAAACTATCATTTATTTAAAGATACCATTGTCAGTCTATCTTTACCCTCAATTTTTAAACAAATTATTTCATAGTTCTTTTCATTTTTATCATTAGATTGCGTTTCATCATTTAATGCCTTCTTTCCTGTTATTCTTATCACTCGAGCATAGGCCCCGAAGTCCTGCTATGCTGCGTTACTGAGTGGAATGGGCGAAGTACGTCGGGAGCATAGCTCCTGGTAGGGCCACCCTAGGCAAAGCCCATTCCAATATGCCCGGCTAAAACATAGCAGGTGAAGATCCTTCAGGGGATTTCCGTCTTGGTTATAGGGTGTCACAATCCCAGGGCTCCAGTGATCTACCTTTTCCATCTCCTCTTAACTGTAACTTTATTCGTTTCCTTCTTCCTTGTGGTTTTCCTCTTCCAATGTTGAGCATCGTCATAAGAAACTGGAACAGCCCTTTTCGAGTGGCGAGAAAACTGCCCACGTGTTTGCCATGCATGGAGACCTGTGTCGCTGGAAAGGAAGGTTGTGGTAGTTGAGGAATGAGGTACTGTCTCCAACACATTGCTTTGGCCTCTGCGAATGCTCTGCTACATACTCTAAACTGGGGGGGGGCACCTTATCATCCTCACAGTTGTCAATCAGCTGTACACTAGTCCTTATGTCAGTGGCTTTGAGAGTAAGCTCTTGGGAGTACCTGCTTTTCGGAAAGCCGACTGTGGGACCTCAGTTTGCGTATAGGTCTGGCTAGCCCTGACGTAGGAATCCCCCTTGTTAGACTCCATGGGTGTGGGTGAGGCCTGTCGAACCCAAATCTTTCTCCATTTAAATATGAATGCTGTGATGCCTTTCTGTTCCAACAATGCACACGATACTGTGACTGTAATCAAAAGACTAAGAAATGACATAGAAAGCACTGTACCAAAAGAATTCTGTTCATGTTTTTTAATTATATGAAAGAAAAAAAAACTAAAGAATTGCAAAAAAATCACCCTTTATCACCCTTTCTAATAAACAACTTTTGTCTTCTGTAGGAGAACTGAAAAATATTAAGAGACTTCAGTCTGGTGACCGTTTGGTAGACACTATGTCTAGAAAACAGTCTAATAGTTTTCTAAACTTAACTAAATTAGGACAAGCAAACATTACAGTAAAGCCACATAACACCCTAAATTTGTCCCGAGGAATAATCTCTGAAATAGATTTACTGTCAGTAACTGAAGAGGAATTCGTTTAGATCAAAACGTGTGTGGTGCTTGAAGGATCAAAATACAGAAAGAAGGTCAACTGATTCCCGCTAAACACATTATACTTACCTTCAAGTCTCCTGCCTAAAAACATCAACGCTGGATACCTAACCTGCCTAAAAACATCAAAGCTGGATACCTAAACTGCTCAGTCGGGCCATATACACTAAATCCAATGAACTAGTTTCAATGTGGACATGGAAAGACCTCCTGTCATGGTAGCCTCATGCGTGCTTGATGTTCCATCATAGGCCGTGGCAATGAAGACTGATGTGCTGCCCCCTTGTGTATAAATTGTAAAGGTTAGCGCCCGGCTTTTTCAAGATTATGTCCAAAATGGCAGAGAGAAAAACAAATTCAAAACATTAAAGTTACACAAACAATATTATTTGCAGAAGACTTGTTCTCTCTAATCAGCCAAGACCTAATACATGTTATGCATCTGCAACAAAATCATTTAGATCATTATCATCTCAAACCACAATAACATCACAGAAAAAAGAACTAGCAATGACAGAAGGTCCTAGAAACCAAAATTCAGGAAAAAAAGCCTAATGTTGAAAGTAGTACTCCGGCGACTGCATCCGAAGGAAAAAAAATATTGGTCAGAATAAACATAGAGATGTTATCAAAGAGAAAAGCAGGCAAAAATCCAGGACCCCCAGTCAAATTTCTATTGCAAGCATGAGTTTGGAATGTCTAGATGACTTGGATGAAATGGACATTGACCAAGGGTTATCCCTTCCAAAACATTTCTGCCCTGACAAACAAAAAACACCACCGCCAAAACAAGCATCCATAATGGGTACACATTTTTTGGTGGAATTGCTGGGGATTCTGTCAAAATCTGGATAGTATAAAGGATTTAATCAATGTCTATCAACCTGCTTGCTTTGCACTGCAGGAAACCTTGTTAAAAACAAGCAGACATGTTAAGGTAGATACGCAGGTATATTACAGTAAGAAAGGATAACCTGTCCGAGGATCATGTCTGTAGGTGGTGTGGATCTTATTGCCTATCACAAACATCCATACACTACTCTCTTTGACAACCTCCCTTCAAGCTGTGGTGGTTCATATTAATGCACATTTTTTAGTTTCAGTGTTCTGTATTTATTTACTCTCAAATGAGCACATTTATCAGCAAAAGTTGGATGGAATAATAGAGCAGCTACCAGAACCTTTTCTGCTTATAGGTGACTTCAATGCACATACTACCTTGTGGGGAAGTAGGGACGCTAATTCAAGGGGCCAACAAAACAATTAATCGGAGATAATTTTATTTGTCTCCTTAATAATGAAGAATACACCTACTTTCATCAGCCAGCTAGAACATTTCGTGCAATTGATCTGGCTATTTGCTCTCCTTCTCTACTGCCTTTTTGCTCTTTCAGCGTAGGAGAGAATCTCTACAGTAGTGACCATTTCCCGGTGATTGTAAATATTGCAGGAGAGTTTGTGATCTCAAGACAACCATGCTTACCTTTACACTTGAGAGAGCAAAAGAAAGTTTGGCGCATCTTTCGCCAATATCCAACACTGGCAAATCTTTTGCCCTTTAAAAAAGCCAAGATGAATGCAATAAAGGTGAGATGACAAAGCAGAGAAAACCATGGGCAGCCTATGTGTCCACTATTACATCTTCAGTGTGTAGCAAACAGGTTTGGGAAAGAGTCTGCAAAGCCTCTGGACTATATAATGATTATTCCTTTTCTGCTCTAGAGAAGGATGGAAAGGTAATAAGCAGTAGAAAAGAAATAGCTGATGCTTTAGGTGAAACATTTGCTGCTGTATCTGGCAGTAGCAATTACTTGGTGGGCTTGGAAAGGACTCAAATTGACTTTTCCCATACTAATGCATAATCTTTAAATAAACATCTTACGATGTTAGAATTAAGAAGCGTAATATCTCGGACTGGTAGGACTTGCCCTGGTCCTGATGGTGTAAGTTTATTTGATAATAAAGCATCTGCCCTGTGAATCTAGTGGCTCCTTCTAGCTCTTTATAATAGTGTATGGAGGGAACAACTTTCTGTAACTGCGTGGTGCATGGCTTTTGCAATCCCTATATCAAAAATCCATCAGTGACCCAAAAAATCCTTCGAGTTATTGTCCCATCAGGTTTCCATAATCTTGCAAAGGCAAAACCATTGCCTATTGCCATGCCAAAGTGGCTTCCATAAGGGAAGATCTTCACTTTACAATAACCTGTCCTGCAGTGCTTTTGTGAAAAGAAATCATGTGCTTTCAATCTTCAACATGGAAAAGGCATATGTTAGAACTGAGCAGCATGGAACTCTTTTTGGCTTTTATATTATAGCACTAAGCTGCAGGGTAATTTACCTACCTTCATTCAAAACTTTCTGAGGGACTGCACGTTCAAAGCATCTTTGCTATCTCGTGTATTTGTACAAGAAGAAATTCTACCCCAGGGTTCGGTGCTCAGTGTAACACTTTTCATCCTGAAAATAAATTATATTTAAGAGAACTTCGCCCCCCCACACACACATACACACACAGTGCATGGGTCCCTGTATGTTGATGATTTGATGATCTACTGTGATGGTCAAGATAAGAGATATATTGGAAGACAACTGCAAATTGCTCTTAACAGAACAAAAAAAGGGTCCAACAACAATGGTTTTAAATTTTCTAGCCAGCAGACCATGTGCGTGCATTTCTCTCACAAAAGAAATCTACATCTTCAACCAAAGCTGCATCTTGATGGCTCCTTCATCCGAGTCGAGTCAGAAGCAAAATTCCTAGGAGTTATAGCAGACCAGAAAGTTTTTCTATGCTCCGCATATATAAGGCTTTAATTCTTTCTAAACTTGACTACGGTTGTATTTTCTATGAATCAGCAAGACCTTCTGTGCTACTGAAATTGTATCCGGTCTGTCATCAAGCTCTACGGATATGCTGTGGAGCTTTGTCTCCAGTCCAAAGTTTATACGTGATCTGTTTTGAAGTCTATACGTAGTCTTATACGTGATCTGTTTTGAATCTCTGGAATTCAGACGCAAGCAGTTTTTCCTTGAATTTCATTATAAAGTAATGTTATAAGCCAAACATCCTGTTCAACTCGTGATATCTGATCAGTATCGGCATTTCTACCAAGCACGTCTTTCATGTATCCCATCTTTTGATCTTCGCATTCACTCGCTGATCGAAGAATTCAACCTAAATGATGTGCATCTCAAATGCTTTAACCTTTCTGGTATTCCTCCCTGGCAAGAAGTGAATATTCAGCTACTTAACATTTTTGGAGAACTTAAAAAGAGCAGTACCAATGATGTCCATTATCAACAAATTTTCCTAAGCAGTCATTCTAACTATAACGCAATTTTTACTGATGGCTCAAAGAATCATAATCATGTTGGGGCAGCTTATGTTTGGGATAAAGAAATCAAGAGTAGGAGACTTCATAAGGTTGCATTTGTTATTACCACTGAAACTCTTGGCTTTTGAATTCTTTAACGTTTATTTCTAAGCTGAATAGCAGAAAGTTCATCATATACTCAGACTCTCTGAGTGCTCTTGAATTAATAAATACAAATACGAGATACCCCTTGGTTTTAGAAATTTTAAAGGCACACCTTCATTTGAGGAATGCAGGTTATTTTGTTGCTTACTACTGGGCGCCTGGACAAGCTGGCGTCAAAGGCAATGAACTTGCTGATGCCACTGCAAAGTGAGCTGATGTTAATTCTGAAAATGATGTTCCCTTTGCAGACATACAGAATTACATTAAAACAAAAGATCTTAACTAGGTGGCTATCAGGTGAATATCAGGCTCTGAATAAATTAAGGCAGGTAAAACCTAATTTGGAGTAGTAAGAGATGAGAGGGAATCGAAAGAAGGATGTACTGCTGACTCGCCTACGAATTGGTCACTGTGCACTGATGCATCAGTTATCTCTTGAAAGGTGATACTGAACTTATTTGTGACACTTGCAATGTTCGCATTTCGGTCAATCATATTTCAATCTGTTACGCTACTTTTAGTTAGAAATGTGTATCATTTTAACTCTATGAATACTAATTTAACAGAAATCCTTGGAAGAAATCCCCATATTAACCTCATAAGATTTTTTAAAGACATTTCATTTTACCATATGATTTATTTTTCCTTTTTTATGCTCTGCCTGGTGCTAGAGCTTTTTTCACATTCATATGTGTATACCCACATCAACATTACAGAATATGATAACAATTTATATAATAGAGTATTTTGCTCCTTATTTAGTTTAGTTTTACTATATTTTATCGATGATGTGCAAATGAATGATTTTTACTTTACTATTGAAAAATTCCTCATATGAACTTCATCTAATGTATTTCAATTTTGTGCATTTGAAATTTATTCTTCATTTGTCTGGCGCATCATAATTTTTAAGGTTTTGTGCCAATAAAAGTAAGCCAACCAACCAACCTTCTCTTCCATTGGTTGCATTTATCCAGCTGAATAAGGTTCTATGCTTGAACCTTCGAAACAAGTCCTTCAAATTTGTAAATATTACGTTGATTCTTGTCACTTTACGATCTCTAATAATCATCATAAGCAACTTCAGAGGATTAATATTTTTGTCTGTGTATTGGCAGGCCATTCCTGTTTAGACCCATAACTAATGCACATATCTACCAAGCTCTCAAGCTCTTTTATAGGTTCACAGTATTAATTAGTGAGGTATGGACAATCCTACTCCTTTTTGAGGGGGTAACCAATGAATAATGATAACTCATTGTATGCTTAATAAAAAAGTGAATAAGACATTTTGTATATGAGGACTGTTCAAAAGGAGACCAATCTTATGTTGTTTATATAACTGCTATCCAAGGCACTTCCCTCAAGTGTCAATTCACCATTCTGTCATTTCTTCCACTTTGGGAATGCCTGCTTGAAATCACTTTTTTTTAATGCCATTTAGGTTGACGTATTTTCTTGTATTTCCTCTATGGAGTAGAAACGGTGTTCTTTCAAAGTGATTTTAAGTTTGGGAAAGAGAACAATATGTACTTGGGCCAAGTCTAGAGGATGGTGCGTTACAATGGGAGAATGATGTTTCTTCAGATAATTGGTAATATGGAGCAATATACAAGCTAGGGTACTGTCATGATGCAGCTTCCAATACTGATTCTCCCACAGTTCAGGTCTATTTATGTGCACAACGTCCCTCTGTTTTGTTAAACATTCTTTGGTAGACTGTTTTGTTTCCTGTCTGACCTCATTGTACAAATTCATAGTGCACCCTGAACACATTAGTGGTCTTTTGACGTGGAATCTAGTCTGGATGTTCTGCAACTGAACGTCTGCTCTCCTTTAAACATTTAAATCAATGCATTCAGCTAATGCAGTTGTCTTGCTTAAGCATTTGAAATGTTTCCATGAATGTTTTTTCCCAGTTTTACACAAAATTTCATACAGATACCTTGTTCCTCCAGCTCCTTCTAGTTTTTCCACTAATCTGCTGAGCTGCTTATACATGATCTGACAGAACTGATAATTACTCAACAACTGATGCATAGAATTAAACCCATTAAAAAATCATAAGTTACCAATATATGCCTTTAGGGGGCAGGGTGGTAGGAGCATGCCATCTGCAGCCAAAGCAGTTTAAAAAGTTTGGTCATATTTTTAACGTTCTTTGCGTATCAGTATGTATTATCTATATAGTAGCTGCTGATGGTTGCATCTAGGAAGATTATCTCCACAGAAAAGTAAAAAGAGTTTCTTCTTTGCAATATTTGCCCGGTTTCTGATTAAAATAACAATTGTTGGTACTTTCATAATAGATCTAGTACTTTTTATAAATTTTTAGTTTTCTATTTGAACATATGAATTTGCATCGCAATGCAATAAAGAATGGTATTTAATAAGCCAAATTATTCTTAATTGTACTGCAAAACCCCTTAAATTATGGCACATTTTCTGTTAACATTCATTGTACTAAAAGGAATGAAGCAAAAGTTACTAATTTTGGTTCATTGTTGTCATCGTCATCTCATTTTCACCATTAAGAAATCAAATGAAAATTACTGTGAAATATTTCATGAAATCTTAAGTTGTTAAAAATAGCAGCAAGGGAAAAGGTTAGTTCAGTTTTTAGATGTAGAAAATGTAAATCTAGGGTTGAGAGTGTAAGCTCTTGTGAAGTGAGTTTAGATCACAGGAAAATTATGGAGATATTGGTGAAATCTGTCCATCTTTGTTGAATTCTGAATTTAGTTAGTTCATCAATACACACCAAATTTAAAGATCAAACAGAAAAAAAGATAACTTGAAGGATCTCTCATTCTAAACAGTTTAAATTCACTCCATCAGTAAATAAATAGTTTGTATCTGTCTTTGGAATCATATATGGTGTATGTTAACTGTTTGCTAAAGGAACAGTTGTAATAAGTATTTACTGTGGTAATGTTTGCCATTCAGTGTGCATCTTAATTTGCAGCAAGACAGGGTATGGTGTTCCCCCCCCCCAAAAAAAATGTGGTTTCTGTAGGACAATGCAGATTTCCTCATCCCCTGGGAAAAAACTGGAAGAATTTGAAATTAGGATGACGTACCATACATGAAAGCCTTTTCATCTGTTCATTGCCTTGAAGAAGCAGGTGGAAAATGCTTCGAGTCAGAAAATGTACTTAAATTATGTGCGATATTTCAGAATAATCTTTATAGTCTTTCAATTTTAATGTGTTACTGTTTCTATGGCAAAAAGTTTTAACATAAATGTTAATTATTCCAAAAAAAAATGAATGCTGTTTAAATGTATTGAATTTATCTTGTCATTTGTCAAAAAATTAAATTGAAGTTGTAATATAAATATCCCTTATACACAGCAAGTTTTAAAATTTTAATTTAATTTAATGAAGCTATGCAGTTTAATTATGAATATCAGACATCTACAATATAAATAAATAGGAATTCAAAACTATTACTCAAAATATTGGTAACTTTAATAGTTTGTTACATGCTAGATTGATTCTCAAATTTTAGGAATATTCTTTTTGAAGTGTTTATAAATGGATCATTTTCTTTTATTTGCTACTTTTCATATGAAAAAAAAAAAACTTTTATTCTTGTGATTGATAAATATTTCAATAGTAAAATTCAGTGACTTCTTTTGTAACAGCAGAAGTTTAGAAGATAATGAGCTAGTAAATGAAGAGGGGACGCATTCATACCAGGTAAGCATTTCGAAATTTCAAGACAATATGATTATTGTAAAAGGAAGTCCTAATAAAAAAAAAAAAAAAAAGAGTTCCTTGATTTTGTTCTTCCACTGAAATTGCGATTTGTTAACAAGAATATTTTTTTATTTATGCAATTTTAAATTCCCTCAAAAAGTAATAATTTAAAGTAGTTTTTTTTTTTTTTAATAATTTCTTTTATTGTCTTCTAATGTATTTCATATTCTTGTATTTTATATGTATATTTTTCTATTGTATTTTTATATATCTTCTTCTCATATCCCTTTATACTTGGTTATAGCAAATCAATCTTAACTCTTTCGCATCGAGAGAGGACAAAATCTCAATTCCCCAAACATCGAAAACGCCCGTATCTAAGAATTTCTCCTGGAATGCTTTTCCTTTCCCCATGACAAGTTGAATACTACAGTGCTAATGATAGCCTTACTTAAGTAAAGCGAGAACTTCTTTCTTCGACGCTTTGACACTGCGTAAAGTTCCCCCTTGGGACGGGATTGCAACTTCGGGCATCAAAAGCTAAACACTGACAGTAAACAAAGGAAAGGAAGGAACAAAGGAAACAAGGAAGCTACTTTTAGTAGCTTCAAAAGAATGATTGACGTGTGATTTAACAACACCTGAAAGCAATGAGTAATGCAGTAACGTGATGGGGAGAAAGCACTGGGTAGGAAATTATTCAGGCGTTTCGGGCGTCCAGCCGATGTCTGAATGCTCGGGCGCTTTGGGCGACTTCGACGCGAAAGAGTTAAATATATAATGTTCTCTTTTAATATTTGTTATTTCTTTCTATAAGAATTTCATCAAATATTTGTTACAGCTGCAAATCTTCTCACATATTGAAAATGAGATTAGTTGACCTGGGATATATAAATATTTAAAATCATCTTTTAAATCTTTCAATCATTTGGATAATCCTTTGTAAATTTCTGTTGGTTTATATTCTTAGGTGGCCAAGAAATGATGTGTGTGGGGAGAATTCATAATGTCTTGCATTTTGTGAGGAAGAACATTTCAGATATTTTTTGTGATGAAATCATGTGTCGAAGATTTGTTGAAAATGATGCTGTACTTTCACTATTTTTACCTTTCTTCTAACTCAGTGTGTTCTCAATTTTTTCATTTCTATAAATCCCTTCAGTCCTTCACTTCTTAAGAAATCCCTGCATAAAATGCATATTTATCATTATGTATGATTAGACTCTTCATCTGTTTCGTGTTGAACACTTGAATTCCCTTGAATCTCAGGAAAATAAAAATGCTATGATCTATTTTAAAAAAGTCTTGAAAAGTTTATTTATCTGTGATTGATGCTTTTCGAAAACAAAATTCTTATAATTTTTTATTCAAAAGCTTGAATAATATAACCAACTACACTGCACGTTTATGCTTTGCTTTTGTTCCGTATGAAATTTTCAAATTTTATAGTACATTGATTGATGGGTTACCAAATTTCTTACATTCTCTTTGGATTTAGTCATGTTAAATGTTTTCTGTTTAATTGTATTAAAATTATTTATGTGCTGTGTTTGGCCCTTAATGTGGGTTCCATATATTTCACCTGTACGTAACACCATAAGTAATAGGATCCTAAATGAATTAGCAGTTTCTACGGACTCAGATTTTCTGCCTTACAAAATTCTCCTTAATTATTACAAATATTTGTTATTTTATGTGTAACTAGAATCTCTATAAGTATCCCAATATTGAATACACCAAATACTAACTTCAGCAATATAACACTTTTTAAAATAAAGCTGTTGATTGTGAGAGTGTATTCAATAAAATACAGTTACAAAACTTTCGAGGACAGTTACAACTTAAGTCACACAGCACTCATTTATTGAATATTAATTAAATTGTCTTTGCAGTAACTTCTACTTGTTACATTATTTTTTGTAAAACTGATATCACAGATAGCTGAGTGGTCAGCTTGCTGAACTGCAAAGGGAACGAACGATTGCGAGTTCGAACCTCACCCATAGCGATTGTAAATTAAAGTTAGCTTTTCTCATTTTGAAACATGTTTCATATATTTAAACATGAATCATTTCATTTCTTATTTTATCTATTTATTGTTTTCACTTCTTATTTTATCTATTATTATTATTGTTTTCAATTTAGTTTTAAAATGTGCACTGTAAATAGAAACCATTAACCCAATCTGTAATGATATATATGCATCTCTTGTAAAAATTATTTCTTTATTTTTACCTCATTGCATATTTTATTATCTACGTAATTTTACATAAACTGTCCAAAATTTGAAATTTATTTCAAATTCAAAAATGAATAAAAAAAAGGAAATGTTAATAAAAAGAAAAAAAAAATCTGAAAGCTTTCATATTTTATATTACTCCCAAACAGACATTTTTTCATTTACAGGCACATACATGTTTTGAGAGCATTTGGGCTAACATCACATTATACTAAAAATGTTTAAAAACAGTGTATCCTTAGAAATTTTATTTGATGAACTTTTTTCTTCAATTTATTTGTGTAATAATATATGCAGAATAATCAAATTAAAGAACATTTTACTTATTACACAGATTACCTTACATGTGCTCCCATACCACACATAAACAATCAGGCCAAGGAAGGGGGGAAAGATTAAAAATATGAAGTTGATTTTATTATACGGTTCATGGTGTTTCAAGTCATTTTAATTCTGTTGTGTTTCATAAATTCTATAAATTAACTTTTTTACAGTTTTTATAAATTTTAACAACCAGACAATTTTATAAATCTTAATTTGCATAAAAAACTTATTTGTGCCTATAATTGTTAACCTTACTATCAGAGTTGTTAAAATTGCTTAATAAACAAAATTTCACTATAAAACGAACTGAGTGAGATATTCTGACCAGACTACGAAACAGATGAAACACTTTAAATTTGGATCCTTCTAAATGAGTGTTACATGATTTTTTCTTTTCAGAAATTCTATTGGCCAGATGCAGACTTCACTCATATCCTTGTTTGGATGACCTTTTTACCACTGATGTGCGGCTTTGTGTTATTTACATCGCTAGCGTACTTTTGTGGGTGCACCTTAAGTGGTATCTTCTCTAGTAAGCCTAAGATATTGTTCAACTAGTTATGTAGTCTTCAGATATGAATCAGTTTACTTCATGCATCAGTATGCCATATCCTAATTACATTTGGATATGTAAATTGAGATATTTAAGGAATTTTCTTGCTTATATGGATGATTCAAAAGTTCTCCGTGCGGGGAGTCATCCATAATCAAGGAAGAGGTCTTAATGACAGTTTAACCAATCCTGGAATCCTAAAGAAATTTGGAGTTTCATACAAGAATGAAGAAACTGAGTCAGCACATCATTTTGTAAAAAGTAGGCTGAGTGCTTTTAAGTCGTAGAAAATTAATAAGTGTCATTTTAAGCTTCTGAATTACAGATTGGATTGCCATTTCAGTCCAAAGTACTTATGTGGAAAGCTTGTTCTCTTTCTTTCATATGCAATGATCTTAAGAGGAGAATTGTCTTACTGTAGAATCTGTAAAAAGAATCCATAAAGAAATACAGCTTTTATCACCTTTTATCAATTCGGTCATATTCCATCCATAAATAACCTGACATTTTAAAGCAGCTCAGTAAAATAATTGTTCATTGTTTGGTTTAATTGACAGACCACATCTGACTGACATTGATTAAATATGAAGTTCATTTTCATCGTTTTCTCTATTGCTGTATGCCTTTCATGTATTACTGCACAGTATATCAAAATACTAAGCATTATAAGCAGATTTCCTTTTATTGATTTGAAATTTAGTAACTTTTGCTTATTATGTGAGATTATCTGCAAGATGTTATTTAAGGTGACATATGTGCTATCCTCATTTTTACATTTCTTGACCATACTGGTGTCCTAATTTTTGCACTTCAATTTATGTTAGCCAAACTCCGGTAGGTTCAGGCTTGGAGGTCTGGCTGGCCTATCAATCCATCAACTAAATATCTTTACTTTGATTATCTTCATTAACCAGCTCAATGTGGACAATCCTTGTTATCTACAAAAAAGAACTGAAGGCCAAGTGTGCTCCAGAAAAGTTGCATGTAAAACTGAAAGATCTTTTCTGTGTATCTTAGCAATCGGGAATCCTCAGTCAAATAAATGGCAGCCATCCAACATGATAGTGGCCTAAACCATGTTTCTGCCACCATAGTTGTCAATTTCTCTGATGTTCAAGGAATGGTATTATGTCGTAGGCTCCCTCCAGATGAAAGTGTACCAAGAACCTATATCTAAGCCAAGTGTCTGCTGAAGTTCTTTCCAAGGCTGATGTTCTCTCTTAACCTTTTTGTGACGGCACACCTTTGTTTAAGACGCTCATGCAGGACGGAAGAGAATCGAAGGCAGTCACCGTACAGAATGGAGTTTTGCATCGCTAAGCCTAATTTTATAACAAAAATCAGAAAAACAAAAGTTTCGCTTCTAGCATCGTAATTTTTGGTATCATTTTAGATTATTACTTGAGCTCTTATATTTGTTAAAATTAGCCCTTAAAACATTTTTTCTTTATTTTACATGAAAATGTACTTAAAAAATTGCTTATCTTCTAAAATAATTTTAGGAAGCGCTATTCAATTATTCCAAAGTTTTAATTGATAAATTCCATCAATAAGTTTCAATTAATAAAAAAACACAATAAAGACTATTTACAGTAAGAAGTAACAAAATTTAAAATGAAAACGAGTGTGGTGAATCTCGAAGCTCAGAGAAGTATCACTTTGTAACTCTTAGAAAAAGTATCACTTTTTAACTCTTTAGAAAATGAATCAGTATTCACATTTGCATTAGTAAATGGTTCACTAACCATACGAGGGTATTCTTCCTCTGATAACTAGTGCCTTCTCGCCATAATAGACTGGAGGTGAGGCTTTCCTAAATAAAAACAGAAGGAACTGAAATATATCTGAAGGCAATGCAAAACATAAAAAAACTCCACACAGTAACCCTAAAAGACCATACATAGTAGAGAAAAAAATAGAATAAAAAGAAGGAATTGGATATAAATCAGATACATGAATGTTTTCATTAGCACTCAGCGATTTAAAGAGCCCACCTCTGTTTACGCTTTCCCTCCGGCCCCCACCCTCGAACAGCTGATGAGTAAAATACCAAAGTCAAACAGAATATATCAAACTCGTCAGGAACCTAAAATTGTGTTCATTTAAAAAAGTAATGGACACAGGATGCCATCTAGTGGCCTTCAGAAAAACATTCCACCTTAAAATGCATATATGCATCACCCGTCCTCTGAATGCGATCTTTACTGATGCATGGATGGGACGCCCGGCTGTAAGAGACGTTCTTAGGGAATGCGTATGTGGGACGCCTGTCCTGAAAGGGTTAATACCAGATATTCTGTTTTATGTGACTGAGATGCAAAAAATGAATCATCTGTCTAAAAACCCTTACTCAGAGAGCTTCCATTAAAAAGTAACTTGTGAAACTAAGTTTCCATTTGCAGCTGAAAGTGCAAAATGCCAATTCTCATTGGACCTTGTGAACTCAAATGCATTGCCCAGGTCTTTTGGATAAGTGTTCAGTCTTCTGAAACATTTTGCATAGTTTTCAGATGATACTAAGCTTTACAATGAGCTCTATAACAATTATGGTCGCTTATTCTACTGCATTGCTTATGAAATTTAGTAGTAGTAGTATTTTTTCAACCAAGTACCTTAATTATATGCGGTACCTCAACCATGCACCTAGTGCAAATTTTACTATGATTAAATGCCTAGTTACTATTATAGCTGTTAATTACTATTATGTACTGCCTAATTAATAATATACCTTAATTAAATGCCTAATGCAATAATTATATGCAAAGAACTGATAACAGAACAAGCATCTACTTATACATTCTACAGCAGCATCAGTTTGTACAAATGCATGACTTTCGATAAGAGCATTATTGCATTAACTCTTTCCGGCATGCTACCTTTAAAGTAGCTGTTTTGATTTTTAAAAAAGTAGGCAGTCTAGTGAGACCTAGAGGAGTACACAAGTAAAATTTTGTGAAGATAGCACTTATCGTTTTAATTCTGTGGGTGTGCCCAAAGTGGCACACTGATTGAATAGAGCTTAAAAAAAAGTGCTGAAACAAGCATTGTTGTCAATGAACTGACCGATAAGATGCAGAGAAACAAAAAATACAGACTCTCAGTTGTCCTAGATTATTGGTGAGCCCGGTTCTGGGCACACCTAGAGTTTCGCTGTTTGATTTTAAGCAAGATTTAAAAGTAAAAATTTAAAACTAATATAGTATACGGAGATTAGCATACAGCCGAAAAATAACATAGAAATTTCTTTTCAAACAATTCCTTTTATACCCTAAAAAGATCTGGAAGATTTCTTTGAAAAATGAGGCTGTTTAAAAACTAAACATGGCTAAAATATATGGACTGGTTTGTGTTGAGCTTCCATCAACTATAAATAAAGAAGGTTCTGAGTAACCTATAAATCCTTTTTCATTTAGTTTTTCTGTGCATACAGAAGGAAATTTTTAGGTGTGTCCAGACCGGACACACTGTGCCGCAAAGGGTTAATATGTGAGTATATACAGTATGGAGATTAGCTTCAGTGCCCTTTTGAGAAATTTGAAAAATTTTTAATTGCTTAACTTTGAACACCAGTGTATCTGATTTTTAAAATACTGATTTGATTTCACGTGTATTATCAATATTTTTAGATCATTTTTATATTATTCCTGTGTGCTTTACTGTATGCTTTAAATTAAAATCAAGCAGTGTTAATTTTACCAAGGGTGAATGAAATTGCTCCTTTTTGTCTTATGTAGGAGGTGAAAGAATTACTTTGTAAGATGGAGCACACTGAAAACACATCAAAGCTCTTGCAGCAGCAGAGAGCTCTTTCAACTCGGATTTATCATTCCAGGGACTTTAAACAAGATTGTCTTTCTCAGGAATTAAAGTTTATTGTTTCTGAGAGGAATAGTTTAATAGAAAAGGTATTTATTTTTAAAATAAATTTAGATATAAATTAAATATTACTGACTACACTGCATTGAGAATGGTTTGATGAAATTTTTCCGTGAATATAAAAATGTCATATCAGAGTGTAAAAAGTTTGATTTGATAATGTATGGGATTTTTTTAGATAACTTTTAGGTTCCAAACCATTAGAAAGATGACTCTTTTTCACCAGTGTAATTGTTTAGTTCACATTATCAAAAAGTTTTAGTCAAGTAGGCCTTTCCGGAAGAAAGGCCGTATCAGCGTAAACACCGCACTCGAGAAAGATGGCGGGAAAAAATTACAGAAATGGCGCATCAGAGTAAATGCTGCAAAAATTGCGCGTGACATCGTCGTGAGCCATGTAGATGCAAAATCTCAACCTATGTCCTGATATATGACATATCAGTTAAGAAAAATGCATGAAATGAAACCATAATTCAAAAATAAATTAAAGGTAAGAAATGTTGAAAATATATTTATGCTCACGAATATACTTATATTTACTGAGAAGTCCATATTTGTCCCACTAAAGAAGTCCATATTTGTCATACTCAGACTATATTAAAAAATGTTGCAACAATGAACATTAAATTTGATGACAAAAGAAATTTTAAATTTTAGTTACAAAAGGAATTACCACACTATACATCAAAAAGCCATCAAAATCTGATTCTTCACTATCTGAATTAAAAAGATTTATAAATCCTGATCTAAGTCCAAGTCTTCCAGATCATCACATTCATCCTCTTGGTTTACAGTCTGTTTATCTAAGGATATAATTTCAGCTTCTTTGAACCTTGCTATTATTGACAATGTTTTTACCGATTTCCACGCACTTCCTACCCACTTTGCAACTTCTTCATAAGATGCTCTACACATTTTATCGCTTTTGGTATACGTATGCAATCCTTCACTCATCCAACACTCCCACTGCTTTCGGACTTCAGCTTTGAAGGATTTATTACCTGATAAATCTAACTGTTGTAAGATTTTTGTCAAACCATCAGGAATTATTGCTTCGGTCGTAGACAATTTTTGACATCTGGTTTTCACTGACTCAAGTAAATGAGCACCCATGGAATCCATTATCAATAACCCTTTTGGTTGGAAAAAAGATCCCATACGACACTGCCAAACTTTTTGTAGCCGCTCATGCATGATTGTTTCGAACATTCAGCCGTTCTCGTTTGCACAAATAATTACGTCATTAGGAAAATCTCTCTTCGGAATAGTTTTCGTTTAAAAATGATCATCGGCTTTAGCTTGTCACCGTTTGTGGCACATGACGTTATTTCATGCCCCGTCGTAAGCACAGTTTTTGCATCAATCAGTTTCATTTCTGTTTGCAGGAGAGTCGAAAGCTAACGGCGTTTCATCCATCTGTGACCGAAGAAGTTTTTTTTGTCAATAATATCTGTCACATATTTTTAGAAAAGATGCCTTTTTATCCTGCCAGTCCATTGGTAATTGTTGCCCGACTGTTGTTCTAGTAGGCACAGAAATATTTTTTCTTTTCATAAATCTGCTACACCTCCTTTGAAATCATTATATTCATTCGTTTTGCTATAAATTTTGCTTGGAAGCGAATTTTTACAGCTTTTACATTCCCTTTCCTCGTTGCTCCTTTTTCCAGTTTTCAAGGTCGTCCTCTAGATTCGGCCACCTTACAGTATCACTTCTTACGCTCGTTTCTGTTGTGGCATATTTTAAAGTTCTTTTTCAGTCTTCCAACGTCGAATACAACTCTCGTCAACTTCAAACTCTCGAGCTGTTGCTCGATTTCCAATTTGCTCAGCACGTGAAATTACATTAAGCTTAAAACCAGCAGTATAGCTTCTGTGCCGTTTAGGTGACATTTTCAAAAATTTTCCACTCTCTTCTTACTTAAAAACTATCCAACAAGTACTTGTACCCAAACTGATGGGATCTGTATCTGGCAGAATGCCAAGAAAAATTGATTCATGCTGAAGGGGAAATATGTCAGAGTTCATTATTGCAAGGCCAGGTGGAGTTGTATCCACCTTTGAAAAAAATTGCAGAAAAGGCAGGGGTGGGGAGAGGATGGGTACTGGAAGATTCATCGAATGGCAGAGGAGAGAGACTATTCAAACTGATGAGATGGTTGATTTGAAAGGGGGAAGAATGTTATTTTTCTGAGATCTTATTTAGGGTGAATAAGGCATGTAGATCCGTTCAAGGGAAAGAATGTAAACAAAATAACGTTCGCAAAAATCAACCGAGTGGTCTTTTGTGTGGGAACAGCACCAGTCTATGCACAATGACAAGGCCATCCAACTATGTACAATGTACAATGACCATCATAGGAAATATTTTATTTTTAGTGCACCTAAATTTCGCATGGGTAGAAACACCGCACCCACTAAAAAAGTAAATTTTGAACACGTAAACAATGCGGCGTTTCTTCTGGAAATTATGGTATTTGAAAATTCATTCTTTATACATTTTTAAGTAATAGATTTATCAGTTGGGGTGGAAATGGCTTTTGCTTAACTTTCTTCAGTTTGGTGTAAATTTGTATAATTCGGAAATTTGTTTGGTTATCTGGTGTAAATTTTTTTTTATTAATATAAAAGTTCTTTTGTTAACCCAGAAGGGCTTTTAATTTAGTTTTGGCATTTTGCATTGAAAACTTTAAATGTGCGTTTCACTTTTCAAATTGTTGCCACCAAATATTATTGCCCTATGTTATTTTTATAAAGAAATTATTTAATGAAGAATCTGCATAAATGTATGAATGTTTCTCGCATTGTGATAAAACAACGGTACCTAGAGCCATCAAATTTTGAATAACGTAATCCTCCACCAAATATGGGCACCTGGAAGCCGTAGTTTGTAATTTGTTTTATTATTGATTTCATATTTTGTAGCACATTAACCCCTTCGAGGCGGGTAGCAAAAACGCGCGCTTATCGCGGAGGCCGGCAGTGTCTTCCGCGAGCGTCTCTCCAGGGCCGGGGGCTTTTTTGCTATTAAGCCTTAAATCCATGAAATTTCCGAAGTATCAACGCATTGTTTAATAATGCTCTATAGAGTATTTAAACAGCTTATGCTTTATAGATATTTATATATATATATACTTTTTTAATACCTTATTTTCTTGTTTAAATGCATATTTTACACATTTTATTTAATTACTCACCATTTTATGATTTTTAAACATTATACATCTGAAAACTAAATATTTACTTAAAATTCTCTTTTCGTATGAAAGTTTGGAACAGGGATCTACACACAGTCCTACATTACATTCCTTGAACTCGTAATAACTCATTTGCTGTTTTGGAGGATTTTTTCCGGGAATGTGAACAAACGAAGCATCGTTGTCTCATTTTTCTTATCAGTCTCTTCTGAACAAAGTTTTGGAAAATGTCTTTCAGTTATCTTTCAGAATCAATATCTGAAATAGTTTGCATCATTTCTGCTATTTCATGCTCTGTTAAACATTTTCGATGCTTCGACATTGCAACGGTAAAAACAGAAAGAATTCATGTCTAACAGATCTAATTATTTTCCTAAAACTGAACTGTAAACCGAAATACTCAACGCTTTAGCACATATAAAACTTCTACTTACAATAAACAACTACCACGTAGACATCATAAATCACGCCATTCGGAAACATTTAGTTCCCCGTTTGTTTATATAATCAAAAACACGTATATGTGAGTCATGCTTCTCTCATTTCGAGTAGAAGGTCTAATGTACGTGTATCTGAAACCATATGGACATACAGTGCCATCTTGTGGCAGAAATTATAGTTTCTAAAACGTTCCAGGGTACTGGCACAAATACGTGACAGTCGGTAGTAAACGGGAAAATGCTCTGACACGCCTGCGTGTCGGCCGGTAGGTGAGTGTGTTTGTTGCTGGCACGTAGACGTGACAGTCGGCGCGAAGGGCTTAATGAATTTTTATTATCAAACTCAAAAATTTCAAAGCAAGCAATGGCAGCACTGTATGGAGGGGGAAAAACATTTTTATCTCCAGCGTGCGAGACTGTGTATCAGAAATTCTACCTTTTAAAATTATTTTGTGATATTGCTTTTGAATTAAATTGTATGATTTAAAAGCGAAGAGCACGATATTTAATAAAGTTAACACACAAAACATTAAAAAAAAGCCTCTCTGGGCATAATATAAAATCTGAAACTTTTCAGATGTTTTTTATATATATTTTAATTACTACAACAATTTATTTTTAGCTATTCTTTATTATTCATCTGTATGTGGCAGTTGAAAAACAGTACATCATATGTGGTCAAGTGTGCATTGAAGCTCTTCTGGAAAGTTAAAAAAAAAAAAACTTTTTAATATTTTTCTAATCTTTTATATCAAAATTTTCCATTTTGTTTGATCTTCTTTTTATTTTTTAATTGGACTATTTTATTTGCAAATAAATGCTGTAAATGATATAAATTTTAAATAAAACTGTTACTATAAACATAACACTACATTGGCTTCCAGAAATTAAGTGTGCAATATATATTGGCAATTTTCAAAAGCATAGTTGAATTCAAGTGGCTGAAAATCACTGCATATGCAGATTTCAGCATACCTATACTGTATGTTACAAACAATCCTGATTGACTGCCCAAACATATTCTAACTAGGCAGTTGTTGAAGGTTCCAGCATTTTGAAAGGTTTGAGCAGCTGCACATATATGCTAATATGAAGCATTCAGAACTTTTGTAGGATAACTATTGATAATATCCATGTTTCCATGGCTGAAAGAAAGATGAGTGGAAGGTGGTGAGCAATGGGGTGTTGTCAGGCACATTGAAGCAGGATAATCAGTTGATGTCACTCTTAATTGGACTTTCTCAGATTGGTGCAACATCATGTTTCAAGATGAGTCCATATTTGCCCTAGATTAGATTAAAAGTGTCAGAACTGAGAAAATCAAGCACATGGAATCAGGCTATGAAACCTTCAGATCAGAATCACACATTCAGATGTGTCAAATTCATGGCGT